TTGACATGCAATTGGTACCTTTTAGAAACAAAGAAGGCTTTTTTTGGATTACAACAAGTAAATGATATAATTGCCAAACGATCTCCAGGTAATTTCATTTAATGTTTTAAATATTTATATAAAAGTTGTTCTTTGTGCACTAATTAAACTCTTTTATGTAAATGTTAGTTAAGTGGTGAATTCAGTTTGGTGATGAGACTCCAGAATTATAGCATTTTGCTGTGTAAGTTTTTGGCTTGACATGCTCTTCATCTGGCTGTGAAAAAATTTGGAGTACCTATAACCAAGTACATACAAAGAGGAGAAATCGTTTGTCGACATTGAGGATAAATTCGTTGGTGTACATTACATACAATAGGAAACTCAGAGATAGGAACTTGAAGAAAAAAGGATTAATGGATGATGAAGATCTTTGCTTTGTGAGGATGTGGCATCTGATGATGAAGTTGAAGTGATGTCGTCTGAATTACAAAATGAAGATTTAAACATTGATTTCTTTGATGATCATAAATCATCTACATCCACCACAACTCAAGAATAAATCAAAAAAGATATATAAATAATATAGTTTTCTTAGACTTTTATTAATGTATTACGCTATTATTTATTTTGATATTGTTCAAAAATATTTATGGAAGAGGAAGATAAGTAATATTGAGGAAGGAGCTGATTGGGAGACATTGAACTCTATAGGAGAGGAGGAAGGGGAGAGAGAAGTTCATCATAATAATGATTCAAATGAAGACCCCCTTAGTGATGACAGCGCTGATGACTTATGAGTTCTTATGTGATATGTCATTGCTATTTATTTTTGGAATTATATGTTAATGAAAGAATACTGTGATTTGGGAAAGATAGAGTTTGAGTTGAACTATATTTCATATTATTGGGATATTTTGATTTCACTTCATATATTGTGTCTTTTTATATTTTATATATTATTTACTCATTAGTATATAAAAAACTTATCTTTTAATGTTTATGCAATCTTTTGATTTTGAGGCTTACGCCTCGCCTCACGAACGAAAAATGCCTCAGTACCGATTACGCAATTTTAAACACTGTAGGCAGATAAGCCTAAAGAAACTTTGGTAAGGCGAAGTGTCTGCTGCGCCGACTTCATGATCTTCAATGGAGTCGACACTAATCGGTTTCACTGATGAAGGTATACTTACAAATGACAATCCACTCAATGATGATGTGACATCTCATTTCTTGCGCTCAACCTGGATCGTCTAAATGGCTTCAAAGGAAACCAATTAATATTGCCTTAGCTCATATCAGACATAACTAATTAAACTAAATACAGCTCCTTGAACGTCGCACTAGCCCTTTTCCAAGAACCCTTTGCCTAATCCTACAACTATAACAAGCAGACCATAATAGGATCCAAAATGTTCAACCTAGTTGCTCATAACTCTTTCCTAACCCATTCAAATAATTCTCAGCAAGCTTTATGACAATCTGACAAGGTCAATAAGCATCCATCTGATTGCCTTTGACATGATTGGTTGAGCAGATCACGTGCAGGTTAACATCTTTCCGTACCCTCATTGTGATTCTGTAAGCTTGTCGAAGAAGTCCGATGGAGGGATAATTAGATCATTGTGACTCACCGCCAGCTCTGCCATTTTTGTGACAGGATCCAAAAATGATGTATAGGGCACTTTTTACAAGTCAAACGCACTGGGGCTCCTCGCCTAGTTCTAAGACATCTAGGGCAAGATGGATGCACTTATGAACATTATGCTTAGGAAAACCACACCAGTAGCCAGTTATGTCAATTATGGGATGCTGGAACTTTACTTCACAGCACTGCCTCAACAACATCAGTCCCGATAGCTAACCCTCCACGGAAGCATCCTATGGTTGTATTTATAAAAAATCATGCAAAATATTAAATGCACACTTCATTCTATGCAGATATTCTTACAGAAATCTCAACAATTAAGCTGAAGATTCCTTCATTAGACCATTGTAAGGGTCTGATGGACACTATAGAGCAATTGAGATTTAAAATATTTAAAGTATTTAATCTAAATTCATTCAACTATATATCAGGAAGCTATTTAAAACATTTATTCTAAAAGTCAACAATCATTATTCTACTTGAGGCTGCCAAACTTCAAGATACAAGCTCGACATGTGATAACTTAGATCAAAAGTAGAAGTTTATTTCTTAAATGAACATTCAATAGCAAAGAAAAAGCTAGATTAGTTTAATCATTTAATGAAAGCTCAGGCTCCAGTCGATGGATTATTCACACTTAATGAAATGCCTTAACACTTAGCTTAAAAAATGAGTTTCATTTAAATAAAATAAAGATAAATCTAATGAACTAATATATATATATATATATATATATATATATATATATATTAGAACTTCTCTCAAGATCGTCTTGAATATACTCTTTATTGTCTTTAACTTTGCTTTCATGTACTTGCTATTATTGCAAGCATTTTTCCTTATGTTTTCATAGCAAATTAGAAAAGTTGTAAAACATGAGATTGTGAAATCACTTCCATCTCAACAAAAAACAATAGTAAATCTAAAGAAGACGGGAGGAAATTCATGTCAGGCTGTCAGCTTGGAAATTATCATGAGTTAGTTGTCAAAGCAGTTGGACTACTATCAAATAGAAGGGCTTAGTTTTTTTTTTTCCGGCAAACTTTGTTAAGTATATAATTTACTTGTATTATTATAATATAATGGGATAAAAGTTTGATGTTATTGTTGTTGTTTTTATATTATTATAATGTAGACATTCCTATAATGTTGTACCTTCATCAAAATCTATATATACAGGGTCAAAGGAAGGGCCTGACATATGATGATTAACTTAAGTCAAATTAGCATGTATTAATGTTTGATAGAAATATAATAAAATCTCCTAAATTTCTCTATATTCTTTTCTTTTTATCTCTTTTCTTTCTCTATTAGGCTTGATCCATACTTTCTAGTAAAGTTTGGGATATATATATATATATATATATATATGAATATGATTCAATGTTCTTACTATTTTGATACATTCTTCTAAGTCAAAACATGGATGTAAAACAAAATTAAGAAAATAGTTTAACTAAGGAAATTTTGATTATTCTTTGATTATCGGATCGGTTTCTTGTGATCACTTGTCGTCTATATGATGTACATTACAAGGTGTGTGCTTACAATGGTGTGTAGATAGATAGTATAAATTAAATGGTTTTTGTTGGATTAAATTAAATGATTGAATAGGTGCTAGGTTTGAAATAACTAACTATGCTTTTTGTTATTGCGGCAACAATAACTTCAAATCATAAAGAAAATATTAAAAATAAGTTTTATTCTTAAGAAAATGCTAATGCAATTATGAAGATGAATTGATTAGATATTTTAAGTGGGACATAAAAGGTCGTCATTAGATCTCTGATTATGATGCAGGTGAGGCGAGCTTTTCTTGTAAATGAACTAGAAGTTGAGTTTGAGAGGCTAACTAACCTATATCAAGATAACACAACTCATGTTGGACTATTGGTTGAGAGCTTAGGCTACCAACTAAGAGGTCTTAGGCTCGAGTCTTTATGTATATGTGTGTGTCAGTTTGCCTTAATTGACCTAAATGTCCCAAAAAAAAAACCTATATGAAGATGCAAACTTTGGTTAAGCCATAAGCAAGCCCAGGGCTTGAACTAGTTGTTGACCTTTAAACCATTCCTAAGATTGGAGTGACATGAATAGCACCGGGTCTAAACTTTTTCTGTTGTACTGAAAAGGAGTCCCCATCTATTACCCTAGGAGAGATAGTGACCAGGGGATGCTTTAAAATGTGCCGGGAATCATTTTTCTACAAGGCTCAATTTAGAGGAACAACAAATATATCCGTTCAAATGTCAATGCCCAAAATCTTATTCAGACAAACATTAATCAAGCTAGTGGTGAACTAAGTTTATGAAAGTACAAAAAAAAAAAAAAAGTTTATGAAAGTACATGAGCAAAAGGCCATATGACAATCCAAAGAGGACAAGTTTTTAATGAATCAATACAGTTATATTTGTATCTCCGATAAATAGAATTGGATGTATAAGAAGATATCACAAGTAGTCCTTAAGTTGTCAATTTTGCTTCAAATTAATTTCATCACCCTCTTATTATTATTTGCAAAAAAACATCCTAGCAGAGTTCCGAGGTTTTATTAACGGCATCACCTTGTGGTCTAGACAAGTATGACGCCTACTCATTGTGAATATAATGGTTCTGAGAAAACTAATGCAAATGTGTTAGACCGGTCCCGTAGGGACCAGTTCACACTGATAAAGGCGGGATTTCTCCGCCTCTCCTATACTCCGATTCAGCTGGGAGGGAAATTTGAATGTAGGGTCTGTTTAGAGATTTCTTTTTTGATTGTATGCATTAAATAATTTGTTTTCCTAGGATTAGGGCATCTTGAATTCGGCTGAAATTTGAGACCTCTTAGATTTAGGTTTTCTTTTGGGCTGTAGCGGTATCTAGAGATTTGGGAGAGATAGATCCTACTCTCGAGTAGATGATCAATTGTATCTTGCTATTTTCTGTTTCCCTTTTATCAAATAATACATATTGTTTAATGTTTTCATGATTTGGTGTGGATTTTTGTTGAGAATTCTCGCTGTTTTTCAAAGATTGACATGAAATACTTGAGATCTACTAGTGTTTCCTATCAAAATCCTATCAAAATGACACAGGTTAGTATATAGATAGATATATAACTATATGTATAATCCATACTCCGCCACAGTTAGCTTTATGATTGTCGTCAACATGTTTTTGATTAAGGTTGCACGCTAACTTTTCTTTTTCATATTTATCTATGAAGAAACTTCTTTTCTTATTACCATTTCAATAGCATACGTAAATTATGACTAGTCATGCTGTTTAATTAGTTTTCTTATTGTGCAAAATTTGTGAAATGCTGCCAATTATTCTTCCTTTTACTAGTGAGCTGTATGCATAAGAAACTTGAGACTTTTGTTAGGTTGCACCTGCTGAACTTGAGGGGCTGCTGCTATCTCATCCGGATATAATAGATGCTGTTGTCATTCCGTAAGTTATAAACTTTGCATAATCTGACTGTGAATGTGCTTGCCAGTATTCGGTTCAAGAGAAAAACTGATAAATATTGGCTGTTTATACAATCCCAGATTTCCTGATGTTGAAGCTGGTGAGGTTCCTATCGCCTATGTTGTTCGCACTGCAAACAGCTCACTGACAGAAGCGGAAGTACAAAAATTTATTGCTAATCAGGTACTTCGAACTGAACTTTAACGTTCTAGAAATTTTAATTCAGATATGCGCAGTTCAAAGTTAGATGCAAATTTATGTGTTGACCTCTAGGTATTCACCAACAGAACAAAAAAAAAAAAGTCAGAATACCTGTAAGCCATCGGGTCCACGAATCCAGCCGAGGATACGCTGAGTCGGCGCCGCTTGCGTCTCATCTCCGCAATTCCTGCATGAATCCCGCTCTCGATCGTCACTCTTCGACGCCTTTAAAAGCCAATCGAGCGGATACCTCCGGCTGCTCTTCTCTCGTTCCATTTCCACACAACCGAACCCCTCCAAGCTCCCGAATTCCTCCCGACTTCTCCTCTCAGCCGGCCGAACCCGAAGCCGATCGGAAGCCCCAACCTCTTCCGATCCCGTCTCCTGCTCAACACCCGACCTCCCGAACTCCACCTCCCTTCCCACTGTCGAGCTCAAATCGAAGTCCCAGCTCCCTTCGGCAGCTCCAACCAGAAGCTCCTCCTCTGCCTGTACCGACCCCAAGCCGAGAGAGAGAGAGAGAGAGAGAGAGAGAGAGGG